TTTCAACCCTTCCAAAGAAAATTTACACTACTTATCTTTACCTTCCTTAAGTTAATCAACCTTTTCTGAAAAGTTTAGGTAAGAATTGCCACATGTAATGACTATTTTATATTTCTTTCTTTAAATATAGAAATAAAGTGAGGGTATAATAAAGACAAGACTTAGGGATAGATATAGACAAGACTCCTTTAACGAGTTTTGCTGCCAAGAAAACCAGAAAAATTGCATGCTTGCTGGATTATTTTATTTTATTTTAAGATGAGAGAAATAGAGGAAATGATTCAGTCAAGAGGGAAAAGTGAATGATACAGGATAGGAAGGGGTATCACCAAGAGGGAAGAAGGAATGTAATCGGGTGTCAGATACAGATTTGGCCTTACAGATGCAGCCAGTTCATCTGGGTTGGAAGGCCAGCAGCATCTACAAGTGTCGATGCAGGTGGGTGGGAGATGGAACAGGGGGCATGGGTGGAGTTTCTCTTCAAGGCTTTTTCCTGCTTTCTTAGTAAGATATGACACAAGATCCTCAGTTGAGGGTAAGTGGGGGAAAGATGTCAGGACTGAGAAAAGATGTGAGAAGCGAGATACTTATGGAAAAGAAAAGGAAAATAAATACCTCTGAGGGGTGAAGGATCTCATGGCAGCCCTGAGCCTAATGGAGACTGGTGCTAAGGAATTGAAAGTGAGACTAGGGAACGTGTTTTCCAGTCATGTTTAACTGGGTGGATGATGGTTCAGAAGAGGTAGAAAATTGACATTATCAGGTTTGGGATTTTGTCAGGCAAGAATAGAGGGTGATTGTAGGAAGGCACCATGCAAACTAAGTGGGAAAGCAAGGAGATGAGGCTATGAGGAGGTGAGGGATAGTGAAGTGGTAGAATCCTGACAGGGTACTTGAAGCAGGCAGTGGCTAGTTAGGAGACGGGTCGGAAGTTGGGTTTCAGAGATGATAGAGAGGTTGTGGCTATTGGTAGTGACAATGCATGATTTCAGGTGGAGGATGAGACTCCACTAGAGAGGAGAGGCAGAAGACAAAGACTGGAGAAGCCAGTGTACAGGAAGGATCATCTGCATGTGGTAGGAATTAACAGGATTATCTTTGGAGAAAGAGGCAATAAGACAGGGTGAACCTCTTCAAGGAACAATGAAGGGTGACTCAGGACCCAGAAAAGATTGGCAGCTGTGGCTCAGGAATGTGGCTCAGGCGGTAGCGCGCTCGTCTGGCATGCGTGCGGCCCAGGTTCGATCCTCAGCACCACATACCAACAAAAATGTTGTGTCTGCCGAGAACTAAGAAATAAATATTAAAAAATTCTCTCTCTCGCTCTCTCTCCCCTCTCTCTTTAAAAAAAAAAAAAAGATTGGCAGCTGTTTAGACGAATTCTCTCTCTCTCTCTCTCTCTCTCTCTCTCCCCCCCCCTCTTTAAAAAAAAAAAAAGATTGGCAGCTGTTTAGACGAATGTAGAGATTCAAACTTTGGTTGGAGATGACGTGGAAAGAGGGTGAGTTTAGGAAGAGGGAGGGACAGAGTTCCGAAAGCAGCTGCACAGAGGTTACTTATCCCCCCTCAAGCCCAGCTTGAACAGGAGATGTGGCAGGAAAAGCAGCCTTCACTTAAGAAAACTGCTAAAGAAGCCAGGCCTGCAAAGGACTCAGGCCTGTGAGGATGCTACTTTTCAGTTCAGCCAAGAAAGTGAAGGAAATGTAGGAATTTTTGCTGAGCAAGTTGTTGATTTTCTCTAAGCCTGTTTCCCAACTGGAAGGTAGAGCCATGTATCATCATCATCATCATCATCATCATCTCTGTGATATGAGTTAAGTATGATAAACTCACTCGGAAAGTATGCAATGGTGAGGAACCTTGGGATGGAGAAAGAGCAGTGCCTCTAGCAGAGGCCTGCCCTGTCCCAGAAGAGAGACATTACCCATAGCTGAGTACTTCTGTGCCCGGTTGGCATGAGTTCTGTCTCCCCCTTGGGAGCAGGAATCATTCTCATGGTTATTCTGAATCTCCTAGAGTGCCTAATCTAGGGCTAGGGAACAAAGGTGGCATCTTGGACCTGCTGCCTGCCTAGTCTGGGTTTTTAGATTGGGAAACCACTTCTGAATCTTCACCACTCTGAAAACAAATAATCTGTAGTTTTGTAGAAATGCCAGGGACAGTTCTGATTGGACTCTACCAAACAATGTTTTTTTTTTTGTTTTGTTTTGTTTTGTTTTGTTTTACTGAGCATTCATTAAAGTCTTCTCTGGTTAAGGAGGACACAAAACTAGAGGTCCTGAGGTTACTTAATTGCACTTTAAGAAAGCTCTGTGCCTGCAACACTAATTCTAGCCAGCTGCTTCACACATGCCCATTAATGGCCATGACAGAACAATTAATTATTCACCACATAACTTGTAGAGAAGGTGGGGTAGAGGTGCTATCACCAGCTGTCAGAGTTAGTATATTATCCTTTACCAATTTCTACCTTACAGAATCAGATAGAACCAGGGCACTGAGCCAGAAAAAATGTAGGTTAGCTTTGCCCACCATTTAAAAAAAGGTGTGTGGGGGGGAAGCAGGTATGGTGGTGCACACCTGTAATCCCAACTACTTGGGAGGATGAGGTGGGAGGATTGCCAATTTGAGGTCAGCCTGGGTAATTTAGTGAGACCTTGTCTCAAAATAAAATTAGGAAAAAGGGCTATGGGTATAGCACAGGGTTTCATCCTGTGTATATATATACTGGGTTTCATCCCCAGTACCACATACACACAAAAATATCACATAAACTGATGGAAGATAGAAAGATAGATAGATGGAGACATATAAGAACATAAATATGGTAAAATGTGAATTACAGAATGTAGGCAGTTATATGTTTGCTATATAATCCTTTCAATTTTTCTAAAAAATATTAATAATGAACTGAAATAATTCATTAATTAATATATAATAAGTACTAGTAACAAACAAATGTATAATATAGTTGTTTTTTTTTTTACCTAGTAACTAATAGAACATTTGTAAGTTTTCATAATTAAATGCTGAAGGGTAAAAGTGGCAGAATGGTTCTTCCCAGGCCAACTGGGTTATTTTACAGATGAGGAAACTAATGCTCAGAGAGCATGTCTGATCCTATTATTCCACTCTTCAAGATCCCTGAAGGTTCCCAATTCCCTTTACAATAAAATCCAAGCTCTTTGGCTTGTCACACAAAGCACTTCATAACCTGTCCTCTGACCACATGTTTAATCCTCTAAGCAAAAGAACAGAGCTGTAATGAAACACACAGGCCAATAATTTGGTGCTCTTTCAATACAATTTTATTTTAAACTAATTTTTACTTATCAAAGCAATATATGTACATAGTTTAAAAGGTCAAATAATGCCAACAAGCTTATAACAAAACACAACAGTATTTTCATGCAGTCCTGCCCCACCATCACTACCCTATTATCCAGAGACAATTACGTCAAGTTTTTAAAGCTATTTCTATTTCCTTTCATGTTTCTGAGTTTGTGATTCTCTCTTTATTCATCAAGTTAGCTATTATCTATTGAGGTCCTCTTAGTGTAGGTGAGGCTAGTAGTGTCTTACTCTTTCCCTGCTCCATCCCATATTCTTCCAACATAATTGTACCATTCTTCAGTTTAAATCCAAAAATTTGGTATAATTAATATGACTGTAAATACGGTTTGCTGATGAATCAAAAAGTATATTGTGGCTGTGGTGCATGCCTGTAATCCCAGTGGCTCAGGAGGCTGAGACAAGAGGATGAGTTCAACGACAGCCTCAGCAATGGCGAGGTACTAAGCAACTCAGTGAGACCCTGTCTCTAAATAAAATATAAAATAGGGCTGGGGATGTGGTTCAGTGGTCAAATACCCCTGAGTTCAATCCCCAGTACACACACAAAAAAAGTATATTATGGAAGGTACAGTGGAACATGCCTATAATCCCAGCTACTCGGGAGGCTAAGGCAGAAGGATCACAAGTTAGAGCCCAGCCTGGGCAACTCAGTGACACCATGTCTCAAAATACAAATAAAAAGGGTTGGGAATGTAGTTTACTGATAGAGTGTCCATGGATTCAGCCCTCAGTACCACCATGACCACAACAAAAGAATAAAAAAGAAGCATATTGTGACTACATTTTCTTTCTCATGTGCCTTATATTTTCTCTGAAAGTTGATAATTGCCTTGGGTTTTGTTGTTATTGTTGTTTAGATTTGATTACACTAATTATAAGTCTTCCCATACACACCAATGATTCTTTAAAACACTTCTCAGTACAGATTTTTTTTCTTGCTGGTAGCATCCTTCTCAGAGCCCTCTATCCCACTTAATTCACCTAGTTGCTTTCTAGGCCCGCCACATAGCCTAGTCTTTTCTGTCCTGTATCTTCTGAGACTTCCTTTTGCCATCATTCTGGCGATGCCCTTCACCCCACTCCTGAATTGGATCCCCCTGTTCCCTGGACCCACTATGTTCTTTCTTGATTTATTTCCTCTCTGCCAGATCTTATCATCTAGTAGCTTTCTGAGAAAGTGTATGTGAAAAGAACATCTTTTTGTGATTTTATATGTATGAAAATACATATACTCAAGCTACGTTTGGTGGTGCACACCTGTAATCCCAGCAGCTCAGGAGACTGAGGCAGGAAGATCAAAAGTTCAAAGCCAGGCTCAGCAACTGTGAGGCACTAAGCAACTCAGTGAAACCCTGTCTCAAAATAAAATACAAAATAGGGCTGGGGATGTGGCTCAGTGGTTGAATGCCCCTGACTTCAATCCCCAGTTTAAAAATATATATATATATATATATTTTTTCCCTATCCTCACCCATAATCAATAGTTTATTTTGGTGAATGAATATAGATTTATAGGTTGAAAATCAATTTACACATCTTTTAAGTGGCATTACTTCATTAGCCTCTAGCTCTCATTCTGGTTGTGATAACTCCAGTTACCAGTAACAAGTCCTGCTTCTTCACATGTTGAAGCATAACATTAGAGAAACACTCAGAGGCAAGGTTTATTTAAAAAGGGGTAACAGACTTCGTCCAGGAGGGAGCAAAGGGCCATAGCTGGTATCCTGGTATCCCAAGAAGTGAAGGTGTTCGGCCTCTTTATTGGTCTTAAGCTTCCTTTCTCCTGCTCTCTTCCCCTGATCTCTCTCCACGTCCTGCTTACTCCACTAGGCCCAGGGGATGCTCGGTGGATGGCCAAAAGGTGAGAAGCAGATGGGCTAGAGGGGGCAAGCTGGAGTTATCTGGGCAGGAAGGGGGGGTAATTAACAACTCCCTGTGGGGAGACAATCTGTGGGACAGGTTACCTTGGCAACTGGTTGGAGCAGGTTATCTTGATCCGAGTGGAGGAAGGGCTCCAAAGGAATTAACATTTCAATTCCTCCATTCTCTGGATCCAGCCCTTGCCTATCTGCTTGTCTAATCCTGGCTTCAGTTGCTGAGAAGTCCAGTACCTTTCTTTCCCTCAGCCAGTGGGAATTATTCTTTTTTTTCTTTCTCGGAAAGCTTTGCTTCCTCCCACCACCCAAGTTGTGGTTGTTCCTGTTCTGGTTTCTAATTGCCTTGTTGGAGGCGTCATTCACACCTCCAGTGATCTTTGTTCATACAGTTAGAAGTTAAAGTAAGGTAGTTATAAGCTGTTTGGAAGCTATTTGTGTGGGAGTGGCATTGTCTTCTGGTGGCCTTCATGGTGACATAAGCAGGTAGCTAGCTAGCTTCTTCGTTTAGTATCCTCAAGTTTTGGTGTAGGTAGGTCTCTTCTCCAGTGTCAGAAAAGGTCTTATCCCTGGAGTTCAGTTTCTCCACGGAAGGATCACCCAATGTCCTGTGAAAGAAGGGGAGGGAGAGGGTGTCATTGAACCTGACAGTGAAGAGCTCTGAAGTAGTATTATGGTTTGGCTCTTAAATGTCCTCCAAAACTCACATGTTTAAGGCTTGATACTCAAAGTGGCAGTGTCCAGAGGTAGGGCTTTTAGGAGGTGAATAGGCTCATGTGGGCTCTGACATCATTAATAGATTAATCCACTCTTCAATTCATAACGGGCTGTTGGAACTTGGTGGAAACTGGAAGGGGGGCCTATTTGGAGGGAGCAGGTCATTAGGTGTGTGCCCTTGAAGGGTGTATTTTGTCCCTGGCCCTTTTTCTCTGTTTTTCTGTCTCTCTCCTTCCTGATTGTCATAAGGTGACCATCTTTGCTTTTCCATACACTCTGTTCCATGATGTTTGGCTTCACCACAGGACCAGAAACAAAGGAGTCAAGTAAGTGTAGACTGAAATCTCTGAAACCATGAACCAAAATAAATCTTTCTTCTTATAAGTTGATTTTCTCAGGTATTTTGTCACAGCAATGAAAAACTGACTAATTCAGGTTCTTACTTCCCTCTTTACAGACTCTAGGACTTCACTGCCAGCTTTCTAGGCTTCTTTCCCAAGATTTCTAGCTGATATTCTTCAGAGATTTTCATCTTCCTGCCATATAGAGTGGATGGGAACCTAGAGATCTAGCTGATCCTTACACACTTTTATTGTTTCAGTGCTGAGAATTGAACCAAGAGCCTTGCACATGCCAGGCAAGTACTTGGCCACTGAGGCAGAAATACAATGACAAATTGTATTTTGAGAAAGGGTCTCTCTAAGTTGCCAAGGCTGGCCTAGAATTTATGATCCCTTGTCTCAGCCTCCTAAGTGACTATGATTATGAAAAACCAGCCTCTACCTCAGAACAAAGCCTGTCCAAGGAAGGGACATCACCTTTGTCCTTGGAAAGACCCACAGAGCACTCCTAAGCACATTCCCACCCTGCTAAGTTGTTTATCTACAAATAACAGGAGAGATCTGCTGCACCAGGTGTCCCTGACTCAGTCAGGCTAGGTGAGGATCCATAGCAGCCCCCTAGTAGCCACCAATCAGCATGAGACAGGGAAATACCTGGGATGCAGATGACCCTCCCAGTAGTTTATGGTGGTTGATAACATGTTGGGAAACCATGTAGTTCAGCACGTACACCCCTCTTGGCTTAAACCAATCAGTTCAAAGGAATCCCCCTCTTGTAGTAACCAATCACCCCTACCCAACTTGTTTCCGCCAGTGAATGTGCTAATCATGTTTTAGAGTTGTTATTTGATTTTCCCACAGTGTGTGATGATTTGCTAAGGGATGCTATGGTATGTATGGGGGTCCTTGCCTTCTCCAAGGAATATGTAGGACTGCTGCGGGCCCTGGGCTCGGGGCCTCTCAGCGTCACCAGTTGCTGTGTGTGCGCGCGCGCGCGCAAAGGACCGAGCTAGCTGGCAATAAACAGCTCTTTGCTGTTTACATCGATCTTGGTCTCTGGTGGTCTTTTGGGGGTCCCGAATTTGAGCATAACAATTACAAGCATGTGTCACCAGATCTGGCTTCCATATACAATCTTTATTTATGTCTGTTTTTACTCCCTTGTCTGGCCTCTGCTTTCCAGGTGCGTGGTGCTACCAATTCCTGAACCTTTGAGTTCAGGGAAGAGAATCAGCTCCTTTAGATTAACATAATCCTGGGCAGGGACTTTAGTCTGGCTTTCTTTTTCTTGCTTTAGAGTCACAATTGTCCCCACAATTATTTGCTAAAGATAAACTCCGATTTTTATTGTTGTTTTAGGGTACTGCTTTATGGAGGGCACTGGGGGAGAGGACCAGCTTTACTCTCTTGTCTTATAACTGGAAATCTTCTATCCAAATAGATATTCTTTATTATATGTTGTGTGTCCCCCCACACCCATACTAGGCACTGAACCCAGGGGTGCTCTACCACTGAGCTACATTCCTCAACCTATTTTCATTTTTCATTTTGAGACTGGGTCTCACTAAGTTGTCCAGGATGATCTTGAACTTGACCTGCCTTAGCCTCTTGAAGTCACTGGAATCATAAGCATGCACCACCATGTCCATGATCTTTAAATTTTTTTGTTCAAGAAAGTATTTGTTTTTGTTTTGATTTTTGGTAGTAAAGATTGAACCGAACCCAGGGGTGCTCTGCCACTCAGCCATATCCCCATTCTTTTCATTTATTTATTTATTTATATTTATTTTGAGACAAAGTGTTGCTAAATTGCCCAGGCTGGACTTGAACTGATGATCCTTTTTCCTTGGCCTAATGAAGAGGGCATTGCTTGATGGAGGGCAGTGGGGAATTTCAAGGGCAGTGCCCTGAGATTTTAAGGGTGCCCCACCATGCCTGGCTGTTTAAAAGCTATTAGAGAAAGTCTTTGGGTGCTGCATGGAGAAATGGTGGAGACAAGGAACAGACATGTTAGAGGAGTGAGCTCTGCCTCTGTTAGTAAACCTTACAGCTTGAACAAACTTAGGCCAAAGGGGAGTGGAGTGACTTATATAACTAAACGGCTGAAAGGACAGGGCTGGGTCTTAGGAGAGAACAAGGCTCTTCCTCCTGTCAGGACTTTTTCTAGAGATGGTTCCATTCTCTAACTGGTGGGGAATGACTTGGGCTGACACCGTTACACTAGCACTATCAGAGAGGAAAGAACTGTCGTCACTGTCACTCTGCTATCCAAGGAAATAACCAAGGGAAGTTTTTTGACTGCCTAAGCTTATAACATAGGTTCACCCTTCTGGGCCCTTTGTAAGTTCCATTTGGACTACAAGAGAAAAAGAAAAGTGGCAAGTCCCCAAAAGAAGGGGAAGCAGTTAATACAAATGCTACCTGGGGACATCATCCATGTCCTGCATATTTATTGCATCGTTGACTGACAGCTCAGCATTGACCCTAAATGAACTTTTCCTTGGACAAGATGGCTGGAAAATATAAGGTTCAGTTACTACTCACTTCCCAAATACCAATGAGCATCTACTGTATGTCACTGGGTACTGGGAACTAAAAGACAAATAAAATCCTATCCTTGACCTCCAGGAACTCACAGTGTAATTGTAAGAGAGCCTGCAAACAGACTGAGTGCCACAATCCAGATGACCAGAGGACAGAGAGAGAAAGGAAACTGTACTCTCCTCTGTGGGAAAGTATTTTGGAGTGGTGATACAAGCTGAGTTTTAAAAAACATATAAATATGAGTTCACCAGACAATTGGGAAGAGGGAAAATACTCTAAGCAGAGGGAGAAGTCTTTTGTATTTGCTTGCTCAAAAAATATTTATTGAGCACTATCAGAAAACTGGCACTAAGTAGGCATTAGGGATGTAATTCTGAACAAAACAAAAATCCCTGTTTTATTAAGTTTGTAGTATGATGAAATCAGACAACCACATTATCAAACAAATATCCAATCACAAACTGTGATAACTGTCATGGAAGGAAAGTAATAAAGAAGTAGGAGTATTTGGGGGGGAAGGGGTCATCACATGGTGTATTCAAGGAACCAGACAGTTCCAAACTAATGGCCAGATAAGAACAGAAGCTCTAAATGTCTTGGACAGGGTAAGAAGTCCATTGCTCTAATTTTTACCCTCAGGCATGTTCCATGCTTATAAATAACTCTTCAACCCCTGGACAGAGAATTATGAATTCTAGAGTTCTTTCCCTCTTTCAGCAAGTTTAGCTTATCTGAGGATTTTAAACTTGCTTTTGAAAATTATGGAGACTCAAGTCCAACCTGCTGTCATACTGAAGCCTGCAAGCCCTCCCATCATGTTCCAGTCCATCTGGACTTTCTCAGACTCCTCCAGTGAGTTTTTATTTTTTAATTTCTCCAAACAATTTAGTGGCATAAGACACCTCCAACTTAGAGTTCACCTCTTCCTGTTGAATGCGTTAAGGACAACAACAGTTTGAGACATTTTTAACAGTTGACTTTGGATTACTCTCTCTTCTACTTTAAAAACAACTTATATTTTTTATTCCCATTTAGCAAACCAAGGCTGCCAAGATTTGTCTTTATATGTGATATCACCAAGTTGTGGTGAGTCAATGGACTATCCCACAAAGCACCAGCTTTCTGATAATATCAGGTTAGATTCTTTTAAGTCACAGGCTTAATATCTGCCCTGTCTCAGTTCGCATTTCCAAAAGATACCCCCTTGAAGCAGCCTATTAAAGGCTTCACCTAGAGATCAAGTCCAGGAGTATCCAGAACAAGTACCTAGGATCCTCAGCAAAGATGCAAAGTAGGTATGGTTTGTCTGTTTGAAGCCCACATCTTTGCCTCTCCCATGTGTCTTCTTCTCAACCCCCGTGTTTATGCTCCTAGCTCTAGTGAAAAACTCCTTTGGAGGGAGGCATGGGGAGAGAGATGAAAAGAACTGTCTTGGAGTGACTCTGACAATTAATCATCCTGCCTGGGAGCACAGAATGTCCATGCATCCACACCCAGACTGTTCTTATACATCTTGAAAGAAAGGCCCTTAGGGAAGGAGAAAGGAGCCTGTGGGAACAAGATAAGTGAGCATAGAGGATCCGTAGCAGAGGATCTCTGCTGAGAGCTGTGCCTTTGGGAGCAGAAAAGGAGCCATCTGGCTACCAGATAAAGATAAAGTTGGGCACCAGGTAAGCCTTTTGGAAACTTGGTAACTTCCTGATATTATTATTTTGCCTCCCCTCTCTGTTTCCCCATGTAATTTGGAGATCAGCCTCAGCAACTCAGTAAGTCCCTAAGCAACTCAGTGAGACCCTGTCTCAAAATAAACATAAAAAGGGCTGGGGATGTGGCTCAGTGGTTGAATGCTCCTGGATTCAATCCTTGGTACCAAAATAAAAATTAAAAAAAAAAAAAAACCCACACATTTTTTTTTGAGAGGGCCTGTGTGTTTATTTAAATGCACAGAAAGAGGAGATATAGCCCAATCCACATCCATTCTTGGAGGAAAATGAGAGCTAGGAACT